TAGGGAATTTGGTGCACCATTTACATGAACTCGGACGAAACTATATATGGGAGCTATATCTAAACCTTGATCGATTTTCACGAAACTTGACCGGCATCACTCTAGGCTCGATTCAGTACGTTATGCCAAATTTCGTGCAAATCGAAGGATATATAGGGAATTTGGTGCACCGTTTACATGAAATCGGACGAAACTATATATGGGAGCTATATATAAATCTGGACCGATTTTCACGAAACTTGGCAGACATCATTCTAAGCTCAATTCATTATGTTATACTAAATTTCGTGCAAATCGACAGATATATAGGGTCTTTGGTGCACCATTTACCATAAATCGGTCGAAAATATATATGAGAGCTATATCTAAATCTGAACCGATTTTTCCCAATTTCAATAGGGTTCGTCCTTGGGCCAAACAAATGAGCTGTGCCAAATTTCATCCAAATCGGATTATAAATGTGACCTGTACTGTGTTTACAATTTAACACCAACAGACGGACATAAATCGACTCAGAAAGTGATTCTATGCATGTTCTCAAAGGAACTATAGGTCTATCTCGTTTCCTTTTGCACAAAGACGTAATACCCTGTACCACAGTGTGGTGAAGGGTATAAAAAGATGACCTAGTACCGATCATCCCTTTTACGGATTAGTTCCATTGCACAAGTTCTTTCTGGAACAACGGAACTCTAACCTGTATACTCGGGATGTGTTTCGTTTCTTTGCATACAGGGGCTATGCGGCTATGGTTCCCATTTTCCGAACTTTAATTTTTTTGTCACGTTATTTGATATTTGTGGGCCAAAACGTTCTCGCTCGTTTGTAGGTATAAATTTTCGATTACAGGACGAACTCTTTTAAAATTGGTTATGGTTGGTTCAGATTTAGATATATCTCATATTTTCCTTAGGTTTCGTGGAAATGCTACACCAATAACCCTGTTAAGTCCGAATTAAGTCTGAAGATTTTAGGCTGACATACATCTGTGCAGAAAAGAAATGTATTCCCATTTTTAAGGTTATAGCCGCATTTCCCCCCTGAAGTGGCTGTAATTTGGTATTCCGGGTTCTTAGAGGTTCAGAAATTCATTTTCGGTCGTTTTAGCCAATTTTTTTGCTATTGACAAAGAATGTTTGCTCTGGTCCATGTTACTATCATGGGATAAATTCCATGAGTTATATAGTCGTCCCGTCCGATTTTTAATTTATGGGTTTATATATCAATGTGGGATTTTAGGCTGGATTTTTTTTAGCATTTTACTTGGTTTGTCATTCTGTTGGCACAAATTGCAAAACATAAACCGGAGATCCTATACACTATATATTCACCATAAATACAAACAGATGTAACTACACTTTTATTAATTTTACAGGATAAACAAAAAACGTTATAAAATCTATAAAAATGGAGTATGGCCGTATTTATTTTTATACCCTACACAACTATGTTGCCAGGGTATTATAGCTTTGTGCAGCCCCAAAAGTTTGTAACGCCGCGAAATATTGGTCCTAGACCCACCTTTAAGTATACCGATCGTCATATCTCGACTAGCTGAGTCGATATAGACATGTGTGTCCGTCCGTCTGTCCATTATAATTTGTAAACACGATACAGGCCACAGTTATGGACCAATCTTCACGAAATTTTGGAAAAGATCGGTTTCTTTCTTCTTGTCGGTTTTTCTAGTCGCTCCAGAGGCGGCAATTATGGCCCAAACAGCGCGAATTTTTGTATGGGGAAAGGGATCGAGCCAAAGAATAAGCATGCCTGTTTTAATAAAGAACGGTCAATATTTAGCGGGTCAAATGGACCCTGACTTTTGTGTGAAAAATGGCAAAATTTGTATTCTATGGCGTATATATTTGCCCCTTAAGGACCTAGACCTTAGTATGTTCAAGAGGAGTGGTTGACCTTTAAATTGATACCAATTATATGGTCGTATGTCCTCAGATGTGGGAGTTACACTCATATATTTACAGGTGCTTACGTATTCAGACATTATTTAGTAACCCATTACCACACTAGAGGGCGGAAATATAGCGCGCTGATCGCTTTGAAATTTTCCATGAGGATTCAGGTATGGCCAAGGGCAACGCCTATAATTTTCGGTGATGATCAGATAATAATTTTGGAATGAAGTGGACCGTAAACTTAACTTTTTGTTTTTTTTTAGTCGATCTATAGGCCACAATTGAAAGCGCAAAATCACAACATAACCAAGGTAAAGAGAATCAGGACAAGTACAGCCCTCGTCTTCTGATTATTAGTAATATTTGTCGACCTTTAGTCAGGTGTGAAGAGGTTGCAAATAACGCAAAGTTAGATTTTCGTGGAAGTTGTGTTGGGTATCATATGGTCTGCCCCGTCCGACTATACTGCTTTGCTCACTGTTATTTTTTTTATTTTTTAAGGTTTTATGTCTGTTACGTAATTTTAACACGATATTTTCTGAGACAAAATGACATAACTGCAACACAATTATAGTACAACAAAATTACTAATAATTATCCGATTGAGACTAAAATTTGTACAGCATACCAAATTGAGTCTAGAGTTCAGATTTAGATATTGTTCTCTCAAATATTTCCGTCCGATTTTATGTGATGCATTAAAGCCACTATATTTCTTTCGATTTGCGCGAAATTCAGCGTAGCGTACTGAATTGAGTCTAAAGTTTAGATTTATTATTTTTAAGATTTTAAATGGGCTTGTAAATGAATACTAATGCATTTTAAGGTTTGTAACTTTGCACATATATATTTGAAGATTTAAAAAGGAAGAAAAATTATTTACAAAAATTGTTTTTGTTTTTTTGTGACCAAAGAAAAGTCCTTATTTTTGATGGCGGGCATGACAACTCCTCACTGGAACATCGGAATCCGAAAATTCCAACTGTATTAGAACGAGTACATGTCTGGCTCTCGTATGAACTAGGATTATTGACTTCGCACAACAATTAACAAAATGGCGGAACTTTGATTTTTCTTTTTTTGTTGGAAAATCACCTATTTTTGACCACAAACTAAGTTAAAAAAATAGGGAAGATCTTCACTGATTGGCTTTATCCTACTTCATACGAGAGCTATACACTCCCAGAGAAACGTGCCAAAATTTGGAACCGATTGGAATTTTTAGTTTTTGAGTTATCGTGCCCGCCATACTGCTTCGAGAAAAATGCGTTTAAAGTTTGAGAATCACTCTTGCCGTCACTTGATGCTAACACAACAAATCAGCTATATCTTCAAGAGTTCTTGAGATTTTCACTTGAAATTTTGTAAGGACATTCTAGAATTAGAGTATTCGAATTAATCAGAAAAAAATTGACACCTAGAATGGGGGGGTCCCCTTAAAACAGTACCAAAACCATTTAAACAGAACATAAAGTATGTCATATGTATATTCAGTCTAAAGGTTACATATGTACCTATCAGTTAAAATTAAAAAAAAAATTATAAAAAAATTGTGAGACTTGAAAACAAAAAATGTCCAAAGGTACTACCTCTCCCCTGTGCAGAAATTAACTACCATATTCACCGGACACGACCACCGACTTTTTTCTCTTCTCAAAAGTTATTTTTTGATTCTTTACATTGATTACATTTCAAATGGATTACAATAAACGTTATGCAAAGGAAGCAATGTTACAGAAAATTCCAAGTCTTATTCTCAACAACGGAATTTTATAAATATTAATGAAATTGTAAATAGTACAATACATTATACTACAGTTCCACGGATCGATGAATGTTCGTTGCAACAACAATGAAGAATACAATATGTTTCCAATTAACTCCATTGCATGAATCCTCATAATGAGGTATTTTGTGCGCTTTGCATTGTAATGGAATCCTTTCACTAATATTGAAAATCCTTTCATTTATTTATATTTCAGTTCGGCAACAGTTGTAATGGCAGATAATGTTTAAGGTAAGTTTAAAAGTTATTTTAAATATAATGATGACTGGGGCACATTCGGCAATGGCGAATCGGTATGAATCTCTCATGTTATATCACTAGCTTTGATTCATATGTATCGCAATTATCAAAATAAATAACTGTCGCAAAGTTTAAAATTTCTAGTTAATAAGCTGCAAGGTTTTTTATATTTTCCAGATTGATACAGCTCATTTATTTGACCCATGGCGAACCCTATTGAAATTGGTGAAAATTTGTTCAGATTTAGATATAGTTCCCCTCTGATTTTATATAAATGGTGCACTAAAGCCCCTATATTTCTTTCGATTTACACGAAATTGTGCGTAGAACATTGAGTTTTAGAATATAGATGAATTATTGATATAGCTCCCATATATATTTTCATTCGATTTTTAGTCAATAGTGCGCCAAATAACCTATATTCCTTATTCCGAGGGCTCCTGAAAATAATTAACGTCACAAAATCAAGTTTCCCTAATATTTCCCTCCAATTTTTAAAGAGTCCTTTTAGAGATGATTTCGTATTTAACATGTCTGGAAGTTTTGTCCCTTCTCTTTGCTAATTAATTCAAAAGTTGAGTTCTTACAAACATTTCATGTTATCATTAGTTGAAGGTTTGCTTAACCATAATACTATGTACCAATAACCCGCCATAACTACAACATTGAATACACCTTCCATTTATATGCTGCCAAATATATAATCTCATAATTCCCAAAGTTGCTATTTACGTTTCATTTCACAAACATATTTGGTCGATACGAAATATATGAATGCAATTCCACGAAAATTGTATTCAATACATGCGAACAAACGAAGCATCAATGCATTTCTTTTCATTTCCTGGTATACTTTAAAAGAGGATATGTGACACACACGCTGACTTGTACACAAAAAAGAACAACACTTTAATAATATTTGCACAGCGTTGTTTTTCTTGTTAGCGTTTTGTGAATGACTGGCTGGCCATATTCTCATCTTCACACCATATTAACTCTCCTGTTTGCCTTCCTGTTTGTCACATATATCGTTCCATTTCATTTCGTTTTGTATTACTTACCTGCCTTCATCCTCGGTGCTACTATCACGTGTCTGTGAACTTTGTCGACTACGTCCCAAACGCATTAAACTTCGCACCGCTCTCATGGCTATGCGCTTCTCCTTGACAACCGGTACTGGACTGCCACCGGGTGTTCCAGCATCACTGGATGCAGCACCACCCAGCGAGGCGCCACCAACTGAATTGCTACGACTTTGTGACTTGCCATAGCTACTGTCAGCACGTTGTCGGCTGGGTACAATCGGTACGGGTTGTGTTGTGGAAGATGCGCCTGGCGTTGTTGCCGATATTGAGGGTATTTGAACATTTGAAGTAGCACTGGATACGACACGTTTAAGGAGGCGTTTTTTCGATGATTCACTACCACTGGACGCACCACCGCCACTGGATGCCAGGGTACCGCTGGAATCTGTAGAGGAATGGTGAAGAAAATGTTATTATTATTTGGCAAAAAATTAGGTTGTTTCTGGGAAAATATATTTTGAGAATATGATTAAAAATTTTTGAACTTGAAAATAATCTTTCTTGAAAAATATCCACGCCTTATAATAGTCATTGAAAAATATGTTTTAAAAATCCACGCCTTATAATAGTTATTGAAAAATATGTTTTAAAAATCCACGCCTGATTGTCGGATATGGTCTTCGAAAATATGTTTTAAAAATCCACGCCTTATAATAGTCATTGAAAAATATGTTTTAAAAATCCACGCCTTATAATAGTCATTGAAAAATATGTTTTAAAAATCCACGCCTTATAATAGTCATTGAAAAATATGTTTTAAAAATCCACGCCTTATAATAGTCCTTGAAAAATATGTTTTAAAAATCCACGCTTTAAAAAGTCCTTGAAAAAATATTCTTTAAAAAATCCACGCCTTAAAAAGTCCTTGAAAAAATATTCTTTAAAAAATCCACACCTTAAAAAGTCTTTGAAAAAATATTCTTTAAAAAATGCACGCCTTATATTGGTCCTTGAAAAAATATTCTTTAAAAAATCCACGCCTTATATTGGTCCTTGAAAAAATATTCTTTAAAAAATCCACGCCTTATATTGGTCCTTGAAAAAATATTCTTTAAAAAATCCACGCCTTATATTGGTCCTTGAAAAAATATTCTTTAAAAAATCCACGCCTTATATTGGTCCTTGAAAAAATATTCTTTAAAAAATCCACGCCTTGTATTGGTCCTCTTGAAAAATATTCTTTAAAAAATCCACGCCTTGTATTGGTCCTCTTCAAAAATATTCTTTAAAAAATCCACGCCTTGTATTGGTCCTCTTCAAAAATATTCTTTAAAAAATGTACGCCTTGTATTGTTCCTTGAAAAAATATTCTTAAAAAATGTTTAGAATTTTCCGGACACAAGAAATTTAAATAGGCATACAACAAACATGTGCTCATATTCTTCAGGGAAATGGCAATGATAAACCCTTCCTCCCCATAATATTTACCGTCATAGTAACTGATAACCATGAAATGATGTTGTACAGACATATATTTTACAATTCGATGAAGTATGAAGGATGGATGTATGTATGTATGTTTATGCGCCCTCAATGTAAATATTATCATTGCAGGCAGTTGGCTTAGAGAACATACCAATGATGTTTGTGTATTAAGTCATTATTTTGATAAGGATTTGAAATACATATATTTACAAACAATCTGACTGCATATGGCTAAGGTAATATATAAGCTACTTATTTACATATTAACAATTTGTTCGGAAATCATCAACATAATGGAAATTTGTCATTTTAAAGGGATGGGGAATTTTTGATATCAAATAGAAATAAAATATGAAATTCAACCACCACGATGCTATTTATTTGAAAAAAAAAATCAAATTTTATTACTAACAATTTTTCCGAAAAAAATTATATATTTTTATAGTACATTTGATATCTTGAAGTCTTCTTAATTTTTTCTCTATTAAATGCCCCGAAAAAAAAATCCATTCGAAACTTTTTGTTTTGTTTAAACCACAACATACTTAGCGTATTTAATTAACATCAAATCAATTTGTCTTAAACATAGACTGAAGTTTTAATTTTCTGTTAATTTTAAATGAGGTTTCAACAACATTATTTATTGCCGAAAGGGCAATTTGTCGGTCGCGTTATTCTTAAAAAAGCAAAGAAAAACAAAAACATGGTTTGTCTTCATTACATTAATTATCCTGGCCAGCAATTAATCCATCAAACTTCAGACATAAGCCACAATGCCGATGAAAAGTCTAATTAGTTAAACACACATACAAACAATTTTTTTGGACAAATTTGTTCTAGCAATAAGTCATTGCCATTAGAATGTTGTGTTTTCAATAATAATTTCATAATGGATAATATATTATTCTATGCGGGGGAGCTGTGTTCTTTATTCGTACATAACAAATTAGTAGATATGTTTGTTTACAAATATATAAAAGTAAAATGGGTCGTTCTACAAATTTTATTTTTGTTTTCTCCCTTATAAATATTTAAAGACATTTTTTTCTCCCAAAATAAATATTTAAAGGCATTTTATGCTGGATGCAGTTGCTATAAAAACAGTTTTGCCAAATAAAAAAATTATGCTATCTAGAACACGTGCTTGCTCTTTTAATAGATTGTAAAAATATGCCTTTGCATTTTAATGGAGGTGTACTTGAAATGTCATGTTTTTGTAATAATTGAAATTCCATAAATTTTACGCAGTGTACGTACGCATGCTATAAAGCACACACACATGCATTACAATTATTGGCTTTAGGTGAAATATAAATGTATATTATTATTACAAAAATAACCAATAAGGAAAGTAGTAAAGTCGGACGGGGCCGACTATATGATACCCTTCACCACTTTGGGTATATCCAACAGATGGAATCCTAACAGACGTCGCATTTTTGAAGGACCGTTAACATGAAATTAAACATGTCATTCTGCAACCTATACGAAATGTTGGTCAGATATAGAGTTGTTTCTTACAATGGGACAAGCTTATGTAAACAAATTCAAAGCAAAATATCGAAATCTAAACCGTTTTCTTCGAAACTTGTCACATGTTAGGTTACACTTACTTCAATATGTTTTTGCATTCGGCCATATTTTGAGTTCTTCATATACTTATAAATCCAAATTTCGTGCAAATCGAAGGATATATAGGGACTTTGGTACATCATTTACATAACATCAGACGAAAATATATGTCAGATATATCTAAGTCTGAACCGATTTTCACGAAATTTAACAAACATCTTTCTAAACTTAATTTAGTACGCTATGACAATTTTCGTACAAATCGAAAGATATATAGGGACTTTGGTGTACCATTTACCTACAATTGGACGAATATATATGGGCAATATTGCCAATTTTTTAATATTCCATTTTCAAAAAATCAGCTCTTTTGTTTTTGTGGCACATCAATGATTTTTGGTACACATATGGAGAAAAATGTTCTGACTCCGAAACCGTTCGCGATCAATTTTTTGGTTGATGCGCGCAAAAGTTATCGAGGTTTTAATTTTGGGCATAAGAAAAAAATCTTAAAATTACGCAGTTTATTATATTGACCAAAAACGTATATATATACCTTCCTCCGTAAAATAAGAATATGAATATACTATAATAATCACGATAAAGTTGCACGAAATATGAGAAAAATTAAAAATATGAGAAAAATTAAAAAATATAGCAGATTACATCAATATTTTCATTATATTAATGACATACACATACCTAAAAATTAATTTAAAAATATTTACATAATCTAAACACCATGGTGAATCAAATGATATCAAAATCACACATGTCCGTGTAGCGGTTTCTAAATCAAAGCGACAACAAAACATGATATTGAGGAAAAATATTTGTTTTTGGTTCGAAAAAATAATGTCATCATATTTATTTTTTGAATTGTAGACAAGAAATTTCAGAAAAAATGTTGGGGTTATTCTGCTATTTTACCCGAATTTCGCCGAAAAATTTACATATATAATAATAATAACTTTTTGTGTATAAGTATACGCCTTGCGGATTATATCAAGACCCTTCCGATAAATCTTAGAATTCTATAAATAGGAATAAATCTTAAAATAAAATATTATTATGAAATATACATTTTAAATTGCGTGTAAATCGCGTAATTCTCAATATCATTTGATGCGCATGCGGTTCCCAGGAAGTACTGAAGTTTATCTTCCAATCCATGTATATTTTGCGAAATTTCATTTGACGGCTAAGATGTGCCGCACGTTACATTGAAGTACCCAAAAAATCGTAAAACTCGAATAATTTCCGAAAACTCCATATGCCATTAACGCGCATCCGATTTCGGTGTGCACCCTAAAAAAATACATCGATCTATACCGATTTCAATGTGGTCCATTAAGAACCATGGATGTGCCAGCTCACACTATTTTTGAAATAAATTGCGTCTAAATCACGCAATTCTCAAAATCATTTGATGCGCATGCGGTTTCCAGGAAGTACTGAAGTTTATCTTCCAATCCATATATATTTTGCGAAATTTCATTTGACGGCTAAGATGTGCCGCACGTTACATTGAAGTACCCAAAAAATCGTAAAACGCGAATAATTTCCAAAAACTCCATATGCCATTAACACGCATCCATATGCCATTAACGCGCATCCATTTCAATGTGGTCCATTAAGAACCATGGATGTGCCACCACAATCTATTTTTGAGATAAATTGCGTACATCTCTCTTTCGGTTGAAGTTTTAAAAGTTCTGTTTTCGAAAATAATCAAAATCCGTATGAGGTCATTTATTGAAGCGGACAAAATTGCACAAAATTCGCACCTTCGGATGAGTATTACTCTGAAGCTGTGCATACTACATACACAAAATACATATCAAATTACGCAGATTCGCGACTACAATAATCTTATAAACGATTTTTATAAATTCCTGTCTGCGTATTAAAGCTAGAAGTAAAATTAAAAAAACACTCAAAATCGAGCTTCAAAATATCAGCATCAATTAAAGGTAGATTCTAGTTTTATTTTGACACGAAGACCGTGCAATGAGTGGCTTAGTCACAAATCGATAGAGAACATAAAAAAACTGGTTCGCCTCAACCTGTTTTTACACATTTTTTTTACATTAAAGTAGACACAGCTTCCACCAAAATAAAGTTTGGAGGTCAATATCATGAACAGTTTGCAACGACAGATCAATTAACCCAAAACTATTCACTTTTGTTCATATACTTAAGTAGTTCCCGAGTTATAAAGGGGTGAACCTCCGCTTCAGCTATGTTAAAAAATTGGCAATATTGCCCATATATGTTCCTTAAAAATGTTCCTTAACCCTTTGGCCCCGAATTTTTCCGCAATCATAGAACATTTTACCGTTCACAGATGCAATGCATCTATCCTAAATAAGATATGAACAAAATTTGACATCTCTACGTCCTTGCATTCGGGAGATACAGTCCATTCTTTCTGAAAAATAAAAGTCCAATATCAAGAAAACCAAATGCCAAATCGACGGAAAAATCATTTTAAATTATTCTCTATAATCTCTTTTACAAGAATCAAAAATAATTCTTATGACAGAATTCGTACAATTCGAATACGAAGCGATTTAAATAATTTGGACTGTATACACATATTAGTACTGTACACATTTTTGCCCTATTCTCGTTATTGAAAAGCTCACAACTTAACCAAAAAATTAATTTTTTTAAATTTTTCCGTTGATATGTGACGTCCGTAATCAGGTCTTGACATATGAAATCCAAAAAATATATAGCTACTAGCTGCATATTAAATATAACTTCTATAACATTTTGTTGCATGTGGGCAACATTGGGCCACAAAGGGTTAAAAATCTACGACTCACAATAGTCCTTTAAAAATTATTCTTTAAAAATCCACGTCTTGAAAATGTATCCCTTAAAAACTCCACGCCTCATAATATTCATTAAAAAGTCTACGTCCACGACTTACAATAGTCCTTATTTAATTTTTTTAATCCAAATTCGGCTTGCATTTTGAATATGAAGCTAATGGAATATTGAATTTCTTCCAAATTTGAAACGTAATAATATATTAGGTTGAGAAGAACTAATCCATTATTTTTCGGCAGATAGATGTAATGATGGATTTCTCGTAAAATATCGATCAAACAATTTCAGATTTATTCTCGTTGGAAGGGTGGCATTTCACAGTAAAACAAATTAATGTTGCTGTTTTTTGTTTGATGCATTCAGTTGTGAGTTACAGGGTGTTAAATATGGAAGTGAAGTCGTAACATCGCCCAGGAGATAAAAATCGACTATAAAACTTTTTTAAACCATTTATAATTGTCCAGAAACGGGCAAAATTGGTCAACAGTGGTCTTTAAACATCTATAGTGACTCGCCAGCAAATTCGGGAGTTTGGTTGGAAAGTTTTAATGCATCCGCCATACAGTCCGCACTTGGCACCAAGCGATTATCATTTTTTCTTGCATTGCAAAATCGGACACTTCGAAGCATGTTAAGTCCTATAGTTCATATAAAAATAATGGATATTTTTTTCCCCAATAATATTGATACAATTTAGATATAGACTGAATCGATTTTGCTGGAAACCTGAAATTTGGAAATATGGAAGTTTAAGAAATTCGTATTTAAGTGTACTAAATGGTACGAAATTTAGTACAATTTATGGAAATTAATAATGGTACTAAATTTAGTAAAATTAAGATTTGGTTGAACATATAAAGCTCGAATCATGAAAGGGGTAAGCTACGAAATTTACAATATGGCTTATAATCAAGGGCCAGATGAAACGACTGAAGCTGGGATCTTGATATGTTGTATTGGTACGTTGATGAACGTTAAGTCTAGTTTTGAGGAAATTCGTACTATAAATTTACGTAAAGTTCTAAAAGGAGAGTAAAGTACGACTGAAGAGCAGAATCATGAAATTTTGTATTTGTACAACAACTACTAAAATGAGGGCACAAATAGTACTAAAATGAATCTTGTTGTTGTATGTGTGTTGTTATAGGTCGAATGTGTTTGATACGTCTGGGTTTGTGAAAATTCGTACTATAAATGTAAGAAAATGGTACCGATAAGTACCTACTAAAAATGGTAGCACTGATCTTGAGTGAACGGATTCATTTGGATTGTGTTTTCTTAAAGGAACGTATAGTAGAGGTACCAAAGGGTTTTTGGAAACTCGTACTAAAAGTGTATCAAATGTAATAAATTGTACAACACCAATTATTGTTGATATTAATTGTGCAATTTTGTATGCAGAATACTGTTTGTTTGTAGGATTGAAATAATAAGGTGGTTTAGGAAACCCGGTCTAAAGTTGTACGATTTGGTAGGATGAATAGAGATAAATTTGCTAATTAAATATGTGGAACGTTGTTGCTGTTCAGGGTTGTGGTAATGAGGTGGTTTTTGATAATTCGTGTACGAAATGTACTAAACTGTGCTCAACTTAATAAATTAGTTGCTATTGAGTAGCCGAATGGAGTCGGGCCTGAGGTTAGTTAGATGTTTGTAAATTAGATCTGTAAGTGTATAATAGTTATAAAAAGGTAGTAAATTTTAGTAGTTAATGAAACAATGTATCCTGAAGATGTATCTTTTGAAGGAATGTCGCTATTATTGTGTACGGGCATTATAAGAAGTAGGTTTTAGAAATAGTACACATCTGTGCACGAAATTCTAAATTGTACTTAATTGAGTACAAACTATATTTATTGCATGAATTGCTCTAGAATATTGAAATTTCATATAATGATCGCTATTGTGTAATTATAGAATTATAAAATTTGTATATGATTCAGTGTTACCGTTGAGTACTTGAGTTAAAAAGTAAGTTTTGGTAAGCCGTACTAACGGCATAAGAAAAGTACTAAATATGACATATCTGTTATTCGGGTGAATGAATAAAGCAAACATTCTGAAAAGTTTTATAAAGGCATTGTTGGTGTGTATGGGACAAAAAAAAAAAACGCTAAGAACTTAAGGGATCTAAAGAGAAGAGAAAATTCGGTAAATGGATTTATGGTTCCGATTATGTGCAATTTTGGTTTTGTAGATTTCGTACAGGAATTTTTGATGTTAGAGATGCACCTCCCTAGGTGCATCCGTTCATCGAAAATGCCGATAAAATCAGAGAAATGTTCGAAGTTGACCGTCATGTTAGCAGTGGTAACATCGCCCAGGAGCTAAAAATCAACCTTAACAGTTTCAAACCATTTACACAAAAAAAAAAAAAAAATGTCTTTTTCCTCAACCAATATATAATGTTTGACCTGGAATGTATTTAGACAACAAATATACTATGTTGTGAAAACAATTTGTTTTTAATTGTTTTCCGTTAGTACGCCGACAATGTATATCCAAAATTAACTATGAGTCTATCATACAAACACTTTGTGCTTCAGAAATTTATTCTAATTTCCCTTAATTTATAAGGTCAAATTTATTTCAATTTTCATCTTTAACCTGTCTTTAAACAAACAGTCAAATATTGTTCACTCATTCAAATAAAAAGTAATATCATTCTTAACATACATATATATTTATTTAATATATTGGTTTACACTTTCGTTATATTGTTTCATGTATGACTTTTATACACACCAGACAATTTGTGACCTTGACGGGCAAGGTAAGAAACGTCATCAACCAATTGACACAAATGAACAATGCAGGTATGCTGACAATCCTTGATAGCACAACGTAAACCAGAACTTGACCCAAAATTTAATAAAAATCACCTTTTTCATGCGAACGTCCTTCAACTGAATTCTTTTGATGATACATAACCTTTTTAACACCAAGGTTGTCTATCGGCTTTAAATTACAATATTGTTGGTGTCCCTTAAATTTTATATGGACTCTGTTTTTGACTTGGAAATTGAAAAAAAAACAATGGTCTAGAAAACGTTTCTTTAATTTTCTATAATATTTTTTTCTCAATATTCAATTGGCCCAAACAAGGCTACTTAAAAAACTCACAAACAATTCAATCACAACCTTAAGGTATATTTTACCAGTGTTTGTTTTTCTCTTTTTTTGTTTTTCTTCTTATTCGATATTCATGAAACAATTTGTATACTTTGAAAACAAACAAAAGTTCGATGCTAAGAAAATTTGAATTCTATTATTGAATATAAGTTTATGTACGATATTTTGTATTTTGATAGAGTGTGAATGCATTAGATGTGCTTATTTTTTTCTAAAATTAATTTTAGAGTTGCAAAAAGTAGTAAAATGATATCCTACGTTTAGTGAGTTAGTTATTTAGATTGAATTATTCATATATTTTTTTTTTGGTCTCCCTATTCTTCTAGGAATTCTGTGTTCTTGCTGAAGTCCTTTAGTATTTTCCATTCACACCCCCTTAGGTCATTTAGTTCAGGAATAGTGTTGATTTTCAAGAATTGGGTTCGAATGCATGCAAAAGCTGGTCAGTGTTCCAACGTTTCGTTGTCTTCCCCATACGCTCTACCCCTGCTGCTTCCCGAACACCCAATCTTGTGTAAATGTGGCTGCAGGTTAAGATGTCCTGTGAGAATGCCTATCAGTCTGCTTAGTTCTTTCTTGTTTAGCGTAAGTATTTGCTTAGTCTTATCCTCATTTGGGTCTCCCCATAAGATTTTTGTGTTTTTCCAATCCTCTCGTTATTCCAGAGTGTTTTGTGCGCCTCTTTCGCCCATGACCTCATTTCTAGACGTGAAGCGCTAAAAGGTTTTGCACTGTTGACATCTATGTTGATTAGGTCAGTCGCACGTCTGGCGAATTCGTTGGCTATCTCGTTTCCTATGACTCCTGAGTGACCCGGTACCCATATTATACGTACAAGACCGTGTCGTGAGCAATTGTTTATTGTTTTTATGCATACCAATACAGTTTTTGATGTAACTGTTTTGGATGTTATTGCATTAATAGCATGTTTACTATCTATCATGATATTTATGTTATTATGCCCAGAGTTAGAGCTTGACCATCTAAGACACTCCGTTATAGCTTGAACCTCCGCCTGTAGGAAAGTTCCTTCGATGTGGTGTACTACCTCATGTAAAGCGGTTTCCACTGATCTCCCCTTTACGTACGCATGCCTGCATGCCTTTATATGGTGAGAAGCTCTTTATAGCATCTCGTACCATTGATTCATCGATTTTAGGTTCCACCGATTTTGCTTCCCTTGTTACCGTAACGTCATCACTTATGGATGGGTTCGGTGGGAAGTGAGCGTTCGCCAGGAGCCTTATGGTTTCCCACGTTTAAAAAAATAAATAAATGAGTAAAGAGATTTTCCATAAAATGATAGCCCACCAAATTTACACAGACAATTGAAAATTTTGTTAAATTATATATTTGAATTTTAACCTCAACTTATTAAAGACATTAATATTAAATTAATTTTCCCTCAATAACATTTACTTGCTTTTCATTTGTTTTATTTTTTTCTCCATATAATATCCAATGACTATGGAATTCTAAAAATCAACAAGTCTACTTTGGTTGTGTAAACTCATTTGTTGGGGTCAGAGGTTAAAAGGTTTCTCTTGTTGGCATTAGTAATAACTTGTTAGGCTTTTGTTTGTCATCCAAAATTTTTTTGTTATTTATTATTTTGGTTTCTTCGAAAGGATAAATATGTTAGACATATTGACTGACCATCATCATGGTCAGACATGATTTTAATTAAATAACATAAGACAGGTTGTGTTTGATTTGTACGATATGAAACATCTTTTTAAATAACCACCATCATAAGGTAGGGCTTACATTAAGTTTGTCCTTCCATTTGCAACACCTCGAAATATCTACTGGAGACCCCATAAGTTGTAAAAAATAAAATTCTATGATGATTTTGTCATGTCCATCCATATGTATGTCCGCCTCTCTGTAAATATCATGATAGAATGAGCTCGCAATATTTAAGATAGAGCTTTGAAGATTTTCACATACGTTGCTACTACTGATAGGATGTTTGATATGGAAAATTTTACATTTCGTCCCAAGTTTTGGTATAGCCCACACGTAACAATATCCCAACTTGAATTTTAGGAATTTGAAGCACAGGTTTAATCGAATCTACTGTAATTTGATGTTTTAGTTTCTCATAGAGTAGGAAATATTTCTACCCAAAATTATCAAATTGATCCACTGATTAGGGTAGACCCAAAATTTCCAAATTTAGGTATTGTTACGACGAAAGTCGCTGCTCTAGTTTTCGTCACCCACCATGATATTTCATATCATAAAAACTGAATAAGAGATGAACCGTTAGGTAATAGGTGCCAGTAATAGGTGGGAGCGACATAATGAGTGTCCAAAATCACAAATGGTGAGGATCCTATTACGTGGTACTTTCCCTATAAAAAGGGGAGAGCCGATCAACAAGGGATCAGCCGGTGAACAAGCGTCCAATGTACAGCAAGTCTAACGTATAACATGTGTAAAGTGCGCAATCAAATTCGATTATTCCAGTCGGTACGGGTGAAAAAAGGTGAGTCAGATTGGTGCATCACACTTTTCCATGAACTTAGCGGTGTTCGTAACCCTTGGGTCCCCCATGTCTTGTCTCGTTAGGAACCCCCTTGAGGTGTCCGCAACCCTCGGGTCCCACGCGATCTAGCTCATTAGGAAACCTCTTGAGGTATCCGCAACCCTTGTGTCCCCCGTGTCTTGTCTCGTTAGGAATCCCCTTGAGGCGTCCGCAACCCTTGGGTCCCACGCGATCTAGCTCTGTAGGAACCCGCTTGAGGTGTCCGAAACCCTTGGGTCCCACGCGATCTAGCTCATTAGGAAACCTCTTGAGGTGTACGCAACCCTCGGATCCCCGCGCGTCTTTGTTTACCAGGAATCTACTTAAGGTGTCCATAGCCTTTGGAACTCTGGCATCTCGGCCTTAGCTTTGGTGTCGCTCTAAATTCAGTCACGCCTTAGACCACAGGACAACCTATTATCAAAATGCTGACAGGAGTACTTACCCAGGTCTCCAAGGAAGGACCTATCGGAGTACTTACCCACGTCTCCCCTAGGAAGGGCCCATTCGGAGTTCGGATCCAGGTTTTCCTCGATGGGACTAAGAACGATCTACCGGTGTACTTAGCCAGGTAACCGCCGTAAGCAGCAGGAGCTCGTTACTCCGCTGGTTACACTATAATAAAAACTGTGTTCATCACCAAACCCAAATAACTAAATAAAACTAAACAATTGCCTAAAAGCCAAATCGATCTGTGTTATCACTCTCTCGATCACTTCTATAAATTTCTGTGGCGGAACCTGGTCCCCGTGAACTTGTATCGTTACAGTATTAAATTTTAAATTATTCCTTGGGTGAAAATCCTCCCTACCAAAAATTGGCCTAAGGGAAGCCTCTAGATGAGGATCCACCTCATTAATAGGTATTTTGTGTACGTTTTTCAAGAGATTTGGCCCAAATTTAATCATTTTTGTTCTCATAGAATTTAAAGTTTGTCCGTCCTCATTTTTATAAACTTCACTACACTGTAGTACAGGGTATTATGTCTTTGTATATATGCTTGTAACAGGCAAAAGGAATCGAGATAGACACATGGTTCTTTTTGAGAATATGCATAAAATCACTTTCTAAGTGGATTTATGCATGTCCGTCCGTCTGTCTGTCCCTGTTAAATTGTAAACAAAGTACACGTCGCATTTATGATCCGAATTGGATGAAATTTGGCATAGGTCACTTATTTGCCCCAAGGACGAACCCTATTGAAATTGAAACAGATTTAGATATAGCTCCCATATATATTTTCGTCCGATTTGATGTAAATGGTGCACAAAAGTCCCTATATATCTTTCGATTTGCACGAAATTTGGCATAACATACTGAATTGAACTTAGAATAATGTCTGCCAAGTTTCGTAAAAATCGGCCAAGATTTAGATATAGCTCCCATATATAGTTACGTCCGATTTAATGTAAATGGTGCACCAAAGTCCCTGTGGATCTTTCGATTTGCACGAAATTATATTTTCGTCCGATTTAATGACGAAATTTGACATAGTGTTCTGAATTGATCCTGGAATGATGTCGTTTCGTGAAAACCGATTTAATGTAAATAATGTACCAAAGTTCTTATATTGCATATCGTACTGTTTACTGTTATTGCATATCGTACTGTTTACTGTACAAGTTTCGTAAAAATCGGATTTAGGTATAGCTCCCTTATATATTATCGATTGCTTTTAAGTATTTGACGCACCAAGAAACCAATATATGGTTGATAGGAACAAAACGTACTGAAATTAGTATAACCTAACCTGTGACAAGTTTCGTTGAAATCGGTTCACAGCTGGATATATATTTTAGTCCGATTTCAAGTAAATGGTGCATCAAACTCCTCATGTTTGTCAGATTCACATGAAATTTTGCACAACATCCAAATTGAGCATAAAATAACGTAGTTACGTAGTTCTAGAAGTGCATACATAGCTCAACGGATGTCCTATTGATATCTGTTTGAAGTCGATTTTTGTCACATTGCACTATAGGTAATTTGGACAGTTTTTTGGGCAAAAAGTCATTTTTTTCAATTTTGGAAAATAAAATCTTTTTTGATGTCATTAAAAAGAAAACATGTCAAATTTTATGAATCTTTGAGATTTTTTGCATAAAAGTGTCTTAAAAGCGCTGGAAATCGTTGCCAAACTCTAAACTTTGAAAATAAAATTAAAGTAATAAAAAAATTAACAAATCAAGGCGTATTTTAAAACGTTTAAAACCGCTAAATTCAAAGCATAAACATAAAAATTAAACATGGGGCGTATTAACGGTGG